CTGCCTTGGCCTCCCAAAGTGCTAAGATTACAGGCGTGAGCCACCAAGCTCAGCCTCAACCTCTATAGAGATTCTCTCTCTAAATAAGCTCACATGCTGAGGTACTGGAGGTTAGGACTTCAACCTGGGAATTTTGGGGGATGCCATTCAACTCATAGGACCTCCAAACAAGCGTAAAAAGGCAGAAGTGACTATTGTACAAATGAGGAGTCCCAGGTAGAGAGAGGTCAGGCAACTTGCTCAGGGTTTCAAAGCCAGCGAGGAATAGATGGGACTCAAACTCTGGTCTGCCTAGCTGTGCTGTAGCTGGATCCCAGGGCTCCTGTGGAGGCAGAAATCTAGACTCCTGCTGAAGCTGGACCCTGCTTGTCCCCTCCCTCGGGTATTTCCCAGGGCAGGCTTCCTAGCACGCTGGAAGAAGGCAGGGAGGGGAGAGGACCGATGTCGTTCTGAGCGTCACTTGGCCAGGCCTTTTGTCTCTCTGTTCATTGCCTGCAATGTGCTTGCATCTTATTACCCAAGCTAGGTAGATTTTTGCTTGGCTGAGCTGAGATCAAAAAGTAATTTTTCTTTTTGCAACAGCCAATTAGAAATTCATTTATTTTCACATTATGGACATTTGGCAAAAATTTCTTTGGCAATTTAGCTCCATTTATATAGTCTGCATAAAGGGAGACAGTGAGGCTGGGAGAAAAAAAAAGGCAAGGCCCCAGGCAAAAATTAAATGCAGAATCATGTATTAGAAATGAGATGTATTTACTATTGTTTTTGAAAATTAATGGTGCATTTTTAGCTTTTATAATGTAATTTAATGATGCAATTCATCTAATAAAAAAAAGAGCACATTTTAACTCAGTCATACAAACCTACTGGGGCACAGGGCGGAACACCTTTTCCATGGAAAGGGTTTGGAATGAAATGCTCGGGGCCTTTCTCTTTGTTAGACAAAAAAGAAAAAATGCTGTCTCTCTCTCTGTCCGTGTGTGTGTGTGTGTGTGTGTGTGTGTGTGTGTGTGTGTGTTCCCATTTGGAGTATGGATGACAGGAGGGTTGGCCTTTCTGAAGGTTACCAAACCAAGGGGGACTGGTATTTGAACTCAAATTTTTTGATTCCAAGTTAAGAACTTCTTTCTGGGCTGGGCACAGTGGCTCACACCCGTAATCCCAGCACTTTGAGGCTGAAGCGGGCAGATCACTTGAGCCCAGGAGTTTGAGACCATCCTGGGTAATATGGTAAAACCCCATCTCTACCAAAAATACAAAAATTAGCCAGGCATTGTGGCAGGCACCTGTAATCCCAGCTACTCAGGAGGTTGAGGAGGGAGTATCACTAGAGTCCAGGAGGTTGAGGCTGTAGTGTGGGGGATCCGCCTCTGCACACCAGCCTGGGCAACAGGAGCAAGCCTGTCTCAAAAAATAAAATAAGATAAAAAGAACTTTCTGCCACCCAGTCTACCCTCAGCAGGAGGGAGGAAGCTGTGGATAGAAAAAGGAGTATGGCAGGAGTTCAAGGTGACAGCTTTGATTGTGCCACTGCACTCCAGCCTCAGTGACAGACTGAGACCCTGTCTCTTAAGGAAAAGGGGGTTTGGGGCAGGGGGGAGATGAGGGCCATTAGTGTGGGAAGCCAGGGGACACACAGGCCTCAGTGTCTCCTGGGCATGGGGATCCCTGAGGGAGGTGACCAGGGATGGAATATACAGTCATCCCCAGGGTCAAAGGAAATGCCCAAACCATTTTTATTCATTTGTTCAGTGACTATTTACTGAACATTTATCATATGCCTAGGACTCCCCTGACCTTTTGCAGCCCGAATTTCCTCACTTGTAAAACAAGGTGAATCCTTCAAAGTATTTCTCGACAAGGTGCACTGTTGGAGTTTTGAATGGAACAATCCGTTCTTATTCCTGAATGACACTTCACCACCCTCCCACACATGCGGTGTTCTCTGGTCATGAGGAGGTTCCTAAATGCTCTCAGACACCCTCCTCAAATGGAAACAGTGGCTTTGTGGGGCTGCTGGGAGGACTCCATGAGACATGCTGCAGGAAGACGCAGGGAACAGCCTGGTGCACAGTAGGCTTTTCATGCTTTCCTGTGCCATCTCCCTTTCCCTTGCTTCTCTCCTGTTCTTCCTCCAGCCCCACAAATCTGCTCTGAGCAACATTTTGAGCAGTTAACCCTGCTGCTACCCAGCCAGGCTGTCAGTCAGCTCCCTCCTCCTGCCTCCACCTCCCTCCACTCCCCTGTCCCCACAGACCTGTGTCTGGCTACAGTCCCTGCACATGTGCTCAGCAGCCGTGGACATTGTGCCACCCCAGCCATTGGCCCCAGCATGACCCAGGTCCTGCCCTGTCACTGAACCTTGGTGGGAAGATCAGTTATTTCCTTTCCTTTTGGGAGGAGAGCTCTGCCCTTCGGGTGCCTGCCCTGGTGTACCAGCCTTGGATCTGGGAATTTTGCATTTTGGGGCTGCCTAGAGAAGTTGGCAAGCAGGCATGGTGAACAGGCCTCTGAGTTTTTGGGTCTAGAACTGTACTGTTCAGTCTTCTTGTCACTAACTGTATGTGGTTCCTGAGCATTTGCACCGTGAATTGGGCTGTGCTGTAGAGTAAAATACAACAATTTGGAGGATCTAGTGCCCTTGGGGTGCAAGTAGCTGAGTGTTACACCTCTTTATTTTCTTGGATTTGATTCAGGTGTTTGCCTACTAGACTGGCCCAATATTATTTATATAGGATGATCCTTTCCCCTGTTTGAGCCGTGTGAATCCATAAACTCAGATATATCCTCACCAGACTCCCAGAGTTGGGATTCTGACTGCCAGCCCTGCAGCACCAGAGCCTCCCCACTTCCAAGGAGCAGAGAGGGCTTCAAAAGGGAACACCAAGCCCCCTCCTCCCCCCTAGGCCCCCAGGACTTCCTTTCTGTTCCCTGATATGCAGCTGAAGAGCCAGGGATTGGGATGGAGTGCTTCTTCTGTGGGATCTCAGAGCCCTGGACATACCCTGTGTGTTTCGTTCCAGACTTTCTGCCCACTGCCATTCTTGGCCTGAGCCCCTGGCTGGCTGCATGCTGCCCGATGCACTTTTGTGCCTCCCAGTTCCAGGCACAAGTCTCACACCCAGTAGTGTGGTTCAAAGTGAATTGAGGTTGTCAGTTCTGCAGGAGCATTTTTGCAAAGGCCTTGAATGGAGGTACCAGGCGTGAAACTGATTTAAATCACACCCTGGGGTCCCCAAGCAGGAAAGAGCTGGTGGCAGAAGTTTCCATTTCTTAGAGCAGGGCCTCTGCCTCTGACACATGTGCTGACGGACACCCGTGTGATGGTTCAAGGGAACCTTGCAGCCACCAGGCTCTGTATGGCCTGCTTTATATACATGTGCCCACATTATCTTCCCAGCAGCTCTCCTTGGTAAGGCTACAATGATTCTTACTTTGCAGATGAGAAATTGAGCTCCAGGGAGGTTAAAAAAAAAAAAAAAAGGCAGTAACAAAAATCTAGCTAAAGTCACATTGCTGGCAAGAGGCAAAACTAGTATTGGTCCTCAAGCTGTGCGACCCTAGAACCACAATACGGCAATTCTGCTTCTCACAGGCACACAAGTAAAGACCCAAAGACACATGCAGATACAAAGATGCATAGGTATACATAGATGAAAAAGCATATAAAATGCAGATTCATATAGATATGTGAACAGACATATTCCCATGGCTACTCAGATATAAAAACACACCTATACATGTACCCACATTTATACCTCTGTGTGTACCACACACACACCCCTAGGCATACACCTCATATACAAATATACACACGGCTACTCTGACATAAGGTATACACACACACACTCTACACATATATGCACATGGACATGACCACAAATATGGAAAGATGAAAGTCCTCCCTCCTGCCATACACACACAAGCATGTAGTGATGCCTGTATACCCAGATACTTGACCCCTGCAGAAAAATGCACGCGCGCACACACACACACACACACATCTTGACACTTCTAAGAATGCCCATCCCTAGATATACAGAACAGCCCCTCCCTTGGCATACACTCACAGGCACTCACTCAAGTCCAATGATCCAATTTAAACTGAAAAGGGAGAACCAAGTTGAAAATTAGAGGGGGAAAAAAGTCCTTCAGAAAGTATAAAGCTAATAGGCTGCAAGTGGTGAGCTTACTGCCTTCACGATATCAATAACTCAGTATTGGGTTTCCAAAAAGACATCACATAATTTTTCAATGAGAAATCCATGAGCCCTGGAGATGCTGTTATGGTGTGAATTACAATGCACACGCTTGTCAGCCGTCCCCGTCAGCACTTTCTCGGACGCCTTAACGGGCAGGAAGTGCTGTGGCTGCAGCAGGGATGGTTATTGTTGTTATTATTTCTTCCTTTTGGAGCCTCAAATTAAGAGCCCGGGAAGCCAGCAGGGCCCTTCCTCCTCCCTCCCCTCCTCCAATTTTACCCAAATCAAGAAGTTTTCCTGCTTGATATATTCCTTAGCGTATTCTTCAGCTCTCAGCCTCCCTTCCCCTGTCCTGGAGCCCTAATTCTGAGAGACACTGACTCCTGGGGCTTAGGAACTAGGGTCAGGATACGTGGGTAGGGGCCACTCTCTCTACAGAGTGTGGGCTTGTTTAATACTTCCTTGAGTGTTGTGGAAATGTTAAAAATGGTGCTTTCCCATTTCTGTCATTTGGACCCAGGGGTTTTTATTAAGCAGAATCAGCCTACTGGGCATTGCTTTCTCCTGAGGTTACCTTCGGGGCAGGACTTTGGTTTGGCAAGAAGAGCAGGGGTCCATGGGATGGGGAATCAGAAATGATATGGACAGAAAGCATAGGGCATCTTTCCTGAGCATATTTAGGAGGAATTTGGGTGACCAAGGGAAGGGATCTGAGTAGACCACCTAGCAGGAGGAAAAGGGAGCTTGGGCACTAGAGGTGGAGTTGGAGTTGATTGTGGAAATTCTTTCATTCAGCTCAACTCTCCTGGGCTTTCTCCATTGACCATGAAAAGAAGATCCTCCAGTTACTGGTCCCAGAGTGTGAGCCCTGTGAAACAGACCTGAAAGTAACCTGCAGTCAGGAGCAAAGCCTTCCTGCTGACTACAGACCCGTGAGTACTGCGTGCGACTCAGCCACCAGGGCTATTTGTTACATGGCATTATGCAACAGAAATCTGACAAGCGCGGAGACTTCTCCTCTGTACCTTCATGACCCCTGGGCTCAGGCCACTGTAGCACTGTGGCTCAGGTTCTAGAATCACCTCTGTCTCTAACTTCTATGAGGTTTAGGGGTTAAGAGTGGAACCCCCAGTCTCTGGGTTCAAATTTTGGCTTTTCCACTTGCTGACTGTGTATAGTATTGCATAAGTCATTTATCCCCTTTTTGTGTCACTGCTCTTTTCATAGTGTCCCGTTCTCCATGCTTTGTTCATGTGGGGACCAGAGGCATGTGGCCCCCAAATCAGGAAAAGCGTGACTCCTTCCCTGGCAGCCGTCCCTTCCAGCCTGCTCAACAGCCAGGCTCAAGCTTTACACACCTTTTTTTGTGCCTCCAGGCCATTGCTCAGATTATTCCCTTCCTGAAGCTTCCTTGTCACCCTGACAGTTTCTCTAGATCCCTTGAGGCCTAGATTCAAATGTCCCCTCTTTTCCGTGAGCATCCTGAAGCAGGTGACAGTTCCTTGAACCCCTCCTTGTCACTCCTGGATTGTGCTGTGCTGTGGTTATTTGCTTGTTGTCTTCAGGCCTGGGATGGGCTGGGACTGATCGGTTGACCCTGTGGCGTCTTGCTAGAGTGTTTAGCAGGAGGTACAGAATCCTGTATCCTCCCTCTCTTCCTCCCATATTGAGATTTGATTCACCCCTCACCAAGGGAAGGTGAACTGATCCTGCCTCCTAAACTGGTCAGTACATAATTATATGCCCGTCATGGCCTGGGGTTTTTGGTGTAATCATCCCAGCCCTGATCTCTAGGGTGTGTGTGCGCGCGCGTGGGATGGAGGCAGGGAAGAAGGGCTGAACCCTTGCCTGTGGGGAGGAAGAAGAGGATGATGTCAGGAGGCAGCAAGGCGCCAAGGAGGAGGGGTAGGGGGTCGCCTGCTGGCTGAGCTGGCCGAACTGGCCTGGGATTCCCTGGGAGCTTGGGCCCTTCATTAACAGTTTGAGGCATGGAAACCTCATATCTGGGTCACTTCCACCACTGACTCACTCCTTGTCTGGCTTGAAGCCCATGTTCAAATGGTGTTTCCTTTCCCTGAACATCCCAAGCAGATATCAGCCCTGCATCTGAAGCTCCCAAGTTCCCTCCATATCTTGGTGACACCCAAGTACCTTACTCTGAAATGGGGATGGGGGGGCATCAAAAGACACTAGAGCTTTGGTTTCCAGTTTTCTACATTACACAGGCAAGTTAAAATAAAACAAAATGACCAGGGGAAATACCCCTAAGTAAAGAGCAGGCCATTTCTTTTCTAAGTGAGGATGTATACAACAGCTATCTTTTTATTATTACTATTTCACAAAAGAAAGAATAGTTTAATAATAAAAACTGGGGGAAGGATATGATCTCAGAATTAAGCTTCTCCCAAGAAAGGAGAGATAGCAATGGTGCGCAAATGTGAATGTCATCTATATTGTGGAGAATGTTACAGCAAAAGAGAAATTGCTAAACTATTCAATGAAAATATCAAATGTCCCTAAATAAAATGTATAGAAGAAGAAATTTTCAGTGTGTGCAGAAACAATGATGACAATGATGACAAGGATGAGGATGACGGTGACGATGGTGACAATGATGAAGATGGGTGATGGTGGTGATGAAGAAGGACATAGTGATGATGATGGTGATGAAGATGGAGATGGTGATGGTAATTATGGTGATGATGGTGGTGCTGGAGATGGCAGTGGCAATAGTGATGTTGGCAGTGGTGATGGTGATGATGTCTGACCTTTATTGAGCTCCTACTGGGTAATAGGCACTATACTCCACGGGTTGTCTCATTTAAGACTTATCCCCCTGTACTGTATTCCTAAAGCTGCCGCAACAAATTACCACAAAGTAGGTGACGTAAGACAACAGCGATTTATTCTCTTCAAGTTCTGGAGGCCAGAAGTCTGAAATCAAGTGTGGGCTGCGCTCCCTCTGGAGGCTGTAGGGAAGAATGCTTCTTTGCCTCTTCCGGCTTCTGGTGGCCGCCAGTGTTCCTTGGCTTCCTTGGCTTGTGACCACATCATTTAAATTCAGTCTCCTTTTTCACACTGCCTTCTCCTTTGTCTCCTCTTCTGACTCATGTAAGGATGCTTGTCTCTGGATTTAGAGCTTACCCAAGGAGTCTGTGGTGATCTCATCTCGGTATTCTTAATTTCATCTGCCAAGATCTTTTTTCCAAATGAAATAATATTCACAGGTTCGAGGGATTAGGACATGGACGTATCTTTTTTTTTTTGGGGGGGGGGGGGCACTGTTCAACCCACTAACTATATCCCATTTTATAGGCAAGAAAGCTGGACTTCAGAGATTCTTTAAACCAGTTAAAAGTTGTACAGTGATCAAGCAGCAGAGAGAGAATGTGAATCTGACTCTAGAGCCTAGGGGCTTCGTGCTTATGGAGACAGGGCACGGAAGGGATGCTGTGTGGAGCATTCACCTCCTGTCTGTGTGGGGGAGAGGAGCTGCTTCAAGCCCATATCAAGCTCTTCAAGGCCATGTGGTATAGGAAGGCTGGATTGGTCTCCAAAGCTTAGAGCCAGCAGGCCACAAGCAGAGGAGGCAGGGGTTCTGGGGAAGGGAGTTAGAGAAAGGGCAGACCCATGACTTTGGGGACTTACTGGGAAGCAGAATTACAGAGTCTATGATCATGTCACCAAACCCAGATGAGAGATGGCTTAGAGGAGAAGCAGATTATAGAAACAGAGACAGAAAGTAGGGAGGGGATAAAAATGAGTCAGTGGGGTCTAAAAGCAGTGGACAAAGAATCCATAATGTGTGAGGAAGTAAGTAGAGTTCTACCCATGTGTCATTTGTAAGTTCCTTCTATAACAGAGCACCTACATGGATCACATGAAAGGATGCTAAAATGGACAAACAGATAGAGGCATTTTGCTGGGGGTAAAGAACAGCAATATTCATATGCTCTGTGGGACATTGCTTACATTTACTCACTGTGGCTTCCTGTGAATAGTTAGCTGTCTCCTCTGAGATCTGATGGGGGCAGGGTGGGCAGAGTCAACTCATACAACTTAAAGCAGTCCAGGCATCTTCCCTCTGGGGCTGGAAACCTCAGCTTGAGAAGGAAAAGAGAGGCTGGGCTTGTAAAGTCTGGGGATGGTTCAAGAAGGAGCTCATGCTCCTGTGTTGTGCCCAGGGCAGGTGTGGTCTCTTCTTGGTGTCTCCCTAGAGACTCAATTCAGCCTCTGGGGGCTGTAAGATGTTGTCAGTGCCATGGGACATATGTGCCTTGTCCACGAGGCCTGGGCACCCTTCCATGGGGCATAGGAGCTCTGTCCCAGGGGCACTGTGATCCTGTCCACGGGGAAGTGCTGTATTCTCCTTGTCTTCAAGGATTCTGATGCCTTCAGGGCAGACTGAAGACTGCTTTGTTTCAGCTGAAGCGTCTCCACCTTTATGTGTTGGTTTTCAATCTCAAATAAGATTTTATTTGAGATAAGAGATGAACAAAGTTTCCAGAATATTGCATGATGGTGATCTGTCTGGGAATACTTATTTTTCCTGCCTGATCCCAGGCAGACCTAGGGCCTGTCCAGTGTGGTCACATACAGTTAGAAAGGCCATGCCCTAATAGCCCCTTCACATGTCAGCAACATGAACTGCACCCCTAAGAGATGTGAACTGTGCTGGTCCTGGATCTGCCTCTAGCCTTGACTCTGTACCCCAGGGCCCCTGGGCTTGGTGCTCCCTCCAGTGGCGGGGTAATTGTGGTCTGTAAGCTCTGAGTCTTGTGGAGCCATCAGGAGCTCCAGAACTGGGAACAAGTGTTGGGAAGCCTGCATTTCTGGGCTGACTTGAGCATTCATTCATTCATGCATTTAATAAATAATTACTGAGCACCTGACTCTGTGCTGGCATTGTGCTTATCACAAGAAGAAAAGATCTCTTCTTCCCTAAGGAGCATCTAATCTACTGGGAGAAACAGACTAGGAGGAAGAACACAAATAAGTGATTAGGATTTGCAGCCAGTGCTGTGAAGACAAGAGTGCTGACATAGAGACAAAGTGTTGGGGTGACAACTGAGACAGAGGTATGAGGGGAGGCCTCTCTAGAAGGTGACCTTTGAGCTGGGATCTGACGGACGAGGTGATTGCTAAAGAGTGTCCTAAGAAGGAACAGTGAGTGTAAAGGCCCTGCGACAGAAAAGGGCATTGTGTGTCCAAGGAGACACAGGATGGCCATTGTGGTTGTGGAGGGTCATGCGTAGGAGGGGCTGAAGCTTCAGAAGACATCCAGATGAGGCTGCAATCAGGCAGATGCCGGTGTCCAGATGAACCCTCATGCTCTGTCTCTGAATCCCCACCAGTGGAACCCAGTGTGAGGAGTTAGGCGTTAGAAGAGTGTTAGAGGAAACCTGGAGAGGAAGGCTCCTAACACTTCCGGGACATTGCCAAATATCTCCCACTGAGCTGAGGAGATTCTGTGCCCAGTGTCCAAAAGTATATTCCAGAAAGGAAGCTACCTTAATATTAGTTAAGGTAATTCTAGTTCCTGTAACAGGAAACCCCCAGATCTCAGTCACTTAATATCCTAGGAGTCTAATTCTCACATTGAGTCCACTTGGGTGTTTGGCAGGTGACTTTCCATGTGGTGATGCAGGGACCCAGGCACCCTCCATCTTCTAGCTCTGCCATCCCTTGGGATCTTGGAGTCCTTCCCTTCCATCTGGCAAGCAGTGAAAAGAGCATGCAGAGCTTTGCACAGGTTTCTGTGGACTGGGTTTAGATGTATCTATGACTTGCATTTGCAAGGGAGACTGGGACACAGAATCTACATGGATGTCCTCCAGGTAGAGAAATTGGGTGCTGGTGAACACAGTCATCTCTGTCCCAGGCCTCTCTTTGAGTGACAGCAACAGTATGGGCCAGAGGCTTTCTGCTGTGGCTTCACATTCAAGCCGCTTGGGTGGCTGCCAGCCTCCTATCTCAACTGATCAAATTAGAATCCCTGGGAAGGGGGCCTGGGCATCTGTGCTGTTGAAAGCACTGGCCAGGCGTGGTGGCTCACACCTGTAATCCCAGCACTTTGGGAGGCCAAGGTGGGCAGATCACCTGAGGTCAGGAGTTTGAGACCAGCCTGACCAATATGGAGAAACCCTGTCTCTACTAAAAAATACAACATTAGCTGGGTATGGTGGTGCATGCCTGTAATCCCAGCTATTCAGGAGGCTGAGGCAGGAGACTCGCTTGAACCTGGGAGGTGGAGGTTGTGGTGAGCCGAGATCATGCCATTGCACTCCAGCCTGGGCAACAAGAGCAAAACTGTCTCAAAAAAAGGAAAAAAGAAAAAGCACTGCAGGGCATTGCAGCACACAACTGAGGTTCAGGACCACCCTGAATGGTGGAGAGAGGCACTTCTGGGACGGCAGTCACAGCTGGGCTCATCCTTCCTCCTGCTCAATAATCATCATTATGTTTTATTATCTTCTTACCAGGTGACAGGCTAGAGTGGCAGGAAGGAAAGAGGAAATGTTGTTTACAAATAAAACAGTTGCTCTTCTGCATTCTAGGGCAGGGGCTGCCTTCATCTCAAATGTGGGAGGCTCTTTGGCTGTGGGTAACAACTTTAATGTCTCCTCATGGGTTGAGACAGGTGAATCTTCCCTGGGCAGGTCTAGATGGTGGGAGCAGGAGAAATGGATAACTCCATTGTTCAGCTTGGGCAGAATGATGAGATTCCCAGGAAATGTGAGAAAGAGAAGGTTAGCGTTCCATGTTAAAAGAGTAGAAGGAAGATGTCAGCAGTGAGTGGGCATGGCGGGGGGGGGGGGGGGAGAGAGAGATTGAGATTGAGATTGAGCCTACAGTGAGCAGTCATGGCTCTTGGAAAAAGGGGACAATGAGACCTTCCCCATGGCAGGAATGACAAATACACTCCTAGAAAGCATTTTGTCCAGTATTCGATCTGAAGTTGTTGTTTGTTCTATAATTGTTTTCCTATCCATAAACCTTTAATAAGTTGACCAGGCACAGTGGCTCACGCTTTTAATCTCAGCAGTTTGGGAGGCTGAAGTAGGCAGATCATGAGGTTGGGAGTTTGAGATCAGCCTGGCCAACATGGTGAAACCTCGTCTCTACTGAAAATACAAAAATTAGTCAGGAAGGGTGACGGATACCTGTAATTGCAGCTACTCAGGAGGCTGAGGCAAGAGAATTGCTTGAACTCAAGAGGCAGAGGTTGCAGTGAGCCAAGATTGTGCCACTGCACTCCAACCTGGGTGACAGAGCGAGACTCCATCTCAAAAAAAAAAAAAAAAAAAAAAACCAAAAACCAAATTTAATAAGACTCATGTATAAAACAGCCTTGTATTAATGGACTCCTGAAGGAATGAAGGAAGAAGTGTGCAAGTTAGAGTTCTTATTTAGCTTTAGGCTGAAAAAATGGAAAAATGGATTCTAATTTAAGCAGAAAGGAATTCGTTGAGTATCAATTAAGCCAGTGATACTGTGACACAGGGACCTACACAAGTCACCCTTCAACCACTGGGTGGACATGGCTGGCCTTTAGATAACCTCTTACTCAGTCTCTTCAAAACATCTCTTTCCTTCCATCCTTCTGATATGATGCACCAGAGCAGATGAGGGCAGGGATGGCAAACGTGAGCCCCTCTAGTTCATCCCTGGCAGACATCACTAACTGATCTCTGTGCAAGTTCTTAAGGAGCCCAGGGGCAGCTCCCCGGATCCCTTATAGTTCCTGTTCCAGGCAGTCATTACTAATAGATCACAGATGATGCGTAAAATTCAATTTACTTCTGTTCCAGGGTCAGTATGACACCTCTTTCAAGGCAATGTGTGTGCAATTTAAATGACACTATCCATCTCTCAGCCCAAAGCAAGTGAGGATTTCATGCCCCAGGGACCAAGAGTTGCCCACCCTGGGGGCCCACTGCTACTGATCTTGCAGAAGCTCAAAGGCTGCCATTCATTCTTGGGATACTAGTCTGGGGGGACTAGTATCCCAAGATACTACACTCCCTTTGGGTGTTACAACCTCCTCCTGACCCCAGCTTCCTTTGGGATGTGGCATCCCAAGCCTGCCTCTCCTGACCCCCAGTCTGTGGGATCTGCTTTGCTGATTTCATGATGCCTTCTGACCTCATGGGTTCTAAAAACAATTATTTGCTAGCTTTGTACCCACCCCTTGCTTCCAATCAGGCCCAGGGTGGCAGAGAGCCATGAGGCTGCCAGTTTTGGTCATGCTAGACTGGTGAGGGGATCAGCCACCCCTAAAGGAAAAGCTCCTCAGGCCAGGAATTACCTTTTTCTCCTAATGTGGAGATAACTGCTTTCCTTTTTTTATTTTCATTTTTTGAGATGGAGTCTCACTTTGTTGCCCAGGCTGGATGGAGTGCAATGGTATGATCTCGGCTCATCGCAACCTCCGCCTCTCGGGTTCAAGTGATTCTCCTGCCTCAGCCTCCCGAGTAGCTGGGATTACAGTGCGCACCATCACTCCCGGCTAATTTTTGTATTTTCAGTAGAGATGGGGTTTCACCATGTTGGTCAGGCTGGTCTTGAACTCCCGACTTTGTGATCCACCCATCTTGGCCTCCCAAAGTGCTGGGATTACAGGCATGAGCCACCGCGCCCGGCCTGGTTTCCTTTTTACCTACTTACTCTGCAGCCTTCCTAATTATTGCCAAACCCTTGTCCCTCGACTTCTCTCTGGCAGTTCCCACCAATGAACTTTTTTCCAGAGGGAAAGAAAAAGGCAAGAAGACTCAGAATGAGGGCCTGGGCTGGACTTACCTCCTGAGTCATCCCCTACTCTCCATGTGACCTCGGACTGGTTATTCACTTCTCTGAATTGTCCTCCTTAAGTAACAGCTTCCTGCTGGAATCTTGAGGGGATGAGGTGACTGAAATGCTGAGCTCAGTAGTGCCTGGCGTGGCTAAACGCTCAATGGCTAAATACTGCTATTGTTTCTGTTACCCTCATGCTTGGTGGTTTGGGCTGAGGTGGGAGGGTCAGGCTTTGGGGTGCTGGCCAGGGACTTGTGCCTTCTCCTCTTCTTCCTCCAGAGCTGCTAGAACTAAGCTCTCCCTCATCTCTTCAAGGAAGATGTGACACCAAGTGTGTTTTGGCAGAAACGAGACCCATATAAATGACCCACACGGGGGCCAGCAGGCGAATGCGATGTTCTGAAAAGGGGCGTTTTATTTTGTGACATTGCTCTGGGGCTGCTGAACTTTGGTGGCTCTTTCTTGGCAGTGTTTCTGGATATTTTGCTTGCAGGTGATGAGAGGAAGGGCTGCCCTGACATTTTGTCCAGGTGAAAGGGCTGGAGGCTTCCTTCCTGTTAGTGTCCTGCCTGCAGTGGGGGAGACATTTCATCGTATTCAACGTGCAGGAGCAGGGCGAAGTGGGGCATGGGGAGAGGGGCCGGTGGGAGGAGTCCCCAGCAGAGTCCTCTGCTAGAACAACCCAGAAGTCCCCCTCCCCTGCTGGGGGAGCCTCCAGGGCCTGTTCCCACCCAGCAGCATCTAGGCTCTTTTCCTGTCTTCCCATTTTCTGAAAAGCTGTGTGTCAGCACAGGAGCGGCAGGTGTGTTCACTCCCGGAGCCTGCGCCTGTGCCCCAGCATGGGAAGGAAAATGCTGACTCGGAGAGAATCAGAGTCAGGCGCTGGCACTAGCCTCGGGGAAAGGAGAGAGTTGGTGGAAAGGAAGTGCTGGGAGAGGCCAGGTGGCTGGTACAGAGGCACCCACGCCTGCTTCCTCTTCCAGGGAGAGAGACCCCCCCCAAGGTAACTGAGAAGTAAGGCACTGTTTCTCTCCCCTCCCTCCCTCCCTCCCTCCCTTCCCTCCTTCCTTTCCTCTTTCTCTCCCTCCTTTCCCTCCCTTCCTCCCTTCCTCTTTCTCTCCCTCTTTCCCCTCCCTCCCTTCCTCCCTTCCTTCCTCCTTCCTTCCTTCTTACCCTCTTTCCTTTTTCCCTTCAGTCTTTCCTTTTTTCTTCATTTCTGCACTCCCCCTCCTCCCCTTCCCTCCCTTCTCTCCTCTTCCTTCCCCTCTCCTATTTCCTCCCTCCTTTCCCCTCCTCCTCCTCTCCCACCTCCCTTCCTTCCTCTTTTCCTCATTTGTATCCCCACTTCCCCTGTGCTCTCCCTCGTGTCCTCCGTCCTCTTTTCTTGTATCTCTTTTGTCCTCCCTTTCTTCCTCTCTTCCCTTCCTTCCTCCTCCCTCCCACCATGCCACTCAGTGCCCCAAGCTGGACACAGCTTCAAGGAAATAGCCTTAGCCCTGGCCCGCAGGAGCTTCCGCCTAGTGGGAGCCAGGCAGGTGGACCAGTGCCAACCCTGCCATGTGATCCACACACTAATGAAGATCTGGGTTGGTCTCTTGGGAGCTTTGCTGGACCTTGAGGGGTGGAGAAAGCCCCCAGAACAGGAGACCCCTGGCCTGGATCTCATAGTTGCTCTGGCTGAGTCAAAAGAAAAGGGCATTGTAGACAGGGAGAAGAGCTTGCACAAAGGAGCAGGACATGGTCAATGAATGTTCATGCAGATTTGGAATTGGACAAACCAGGCTTGAGCCACTGTCATTACAACCTCTGGTCAATCATTTCAGCCTCTCTGAGCTTCTCATCTGTAAAATGCATGTTAGTACCCATGACGACCTGGGATGTTTCGGGAACAGAATTAGTTCTCTCATGTGAAAATATCTAGCACTCCATATCTTATCATATTTGACCTTCATGTCAACCCAGGGGGACAGGTACAATTACATCTTCATTTTACAGGTCTGGAAATGTTAGTTCAGAGAAGTTAAGCAGCCTGTTCAAGTTCATATAGCCAGGCAGATTGAAGACACAAATGTGGGCAGCCTGATTCCCAAGCCTGAGCATTGAATAACAATGTCCCAAAAGTCAGCACATAAACTTGGAATAAAACGAATACATCAGGTGCCTCCTCTGTAAAATGAGGTTGCACAAACCTGGAGGATGATGGGGATAACTCTTCAGAGCGGGAGGGGCCATGGGGGATGCACTTTTGAACTTTATGGCTTCTCGAGGTCCCATCAATTGTGCTCTCCTAGCCTGTATCTGGTTGCTGCGGGAGAAGGAGATGGGCAGTGGAGGAGGAGAAAGAAGGGGGAGAAGGAGGAGGGGGAGGAAGAGGGGAAGAGGAAGGGAGGAAAGTGTGTTGGGGGAGCAGGAAGAGGAGGAGGAGGCAGGAGGGAGGGGGGAAAGGAGGATGGGAGGAAGGGAAAGGGAGGAGGAGGAGAAGAGGGGGAAGATAGAGGAGAGGGAGGAGGGAAAGAGGAGGGGAAGGAGGGGGAGGAGGGGAAGGAGGGGGAGGAGGGGAAGGGGAGGGGAAGGAGGAACCCTCTGACCCTGCTCCTGAATCTGATTCTCTCCCTCTCTCCACGTTCCCTGCACCGAGGTGTTGGAAGTTCATCTTTCCAGTGGAGGCCGCCTCAGTTTCCATCCTTGTAGCTGTGCTTTTTCTGTTCCCATGGGACTTTCCTTCCCTTGACCCCCTTTCTTTCAGGAGCTCTTGGTCTTATCTGAACAGCCTTCCTCTAAGAAGCCTCGCAGAATGCCCTGGGTACCCTTTGCTTCTCCTTGCTCTGGCCTCTGCTGTCATTCTCTCCTCTCTGCTCTCCCTCTCCTCCCATCCCTCCAAGAAGGTGAACCGCGGGACTTCTGAGGTCTAAGGAAGGGTCCTGGATAGGGACTTTAGGAGCTCAGACCGGATGGTCATTGGAGAAGCCTCCTTTTGTCATTATGCAGACTGGCCACACGATGGCGCCCTGGGACCATCAAGCACCTGCCCAGTCTCTTCAATGGGCTTCTGCTCGCCCTGGTGATTATTTCTTCCCTTAAATGTTACACACAGACGCCTCTTCCTTAGCTCTCTACCTGGGCAGCCAAATTCTGGGTTTCCTGCTCACCCTGAGTAGAGAGCGCCCAGTCACTTGGTCTGTGTTAGGAGTGGAGTAGGGAGAAGAGCAGGAGAGGAGCAGAAAGAAAGGAAGGGAGGGGCTTGACAGGGGGCCAGTGAGCATGTGAAAGTTGTTGTATTTGACTTTCTGGAGTTACTGATGGGCTCAGCCAGCAGGAGCTGGGCTCTGGGGAATCTTTAGGAATGAGAACCAGAGCCTGGATGTCCATTCCAGCGCCCCAAACATAGTGCTCACTTCCTGCAAGCGACGCAGAAAAGGCTGGTGTGAACTTCCAGGCACCTGAGAAGGAGCAAGAGCTCAGAGTGCCAGCTGGAGGTGGCCCTGACCATAGACTTGGCCGTGGCCAGCCGTGGCCCTTCTCAGACACGGCTTGGAGCTGATGGAGCTGCTGGTTGGGATCAGCAGGATGTGGCTTGACTCAGGCACTGAAAAATAAGGCTTACCTTTATGAAAAAACCAAACGCAGGTGAGGTGACCACAGTGAATTTTACGAATGCTCAGTGTGGCAAATTAGGATTATAATAATATTATAACAATCATAATGACAGTTGCAAATAATAACAATGATAACTAACTTTTTGAGGATTTATGGGACATGCCAGACACTGCCTTTTTTTTTTTTTTTTTTTAACATGGATTATTTGGTTTACATGGATTACTCCATAGGGTAGGTAATAGAAGAGGATTTATATTGACAATCAGGCCTGGAAAGGAGGCACACTTTGTTTTAGTGCAAGGCCCAGGGTACCTGCAGGCTGGAGTTTGGCTTTCTCCTGGGCTCCAGCTGTTGGCAGGGATGGAGAGAAAAACTTGTCCATTTCACTTACAGGGACACAGGGACCTCCCGTTACTGTCTTTTTCATTCCCAACCATCTTCTTCCTGTTGGAAGGAATATTCCTCAGCTGAAGTTGGATCTGATTTAATAAGGCAATAACCAGAGAAATGCATTTCAATTGATTATTAAGCATTTGTTTATTAGGGCTCAGTAGCCCTGACCCAAATAGATGCTAAACAGTCATTAAACATCAAAGAAGATGTTTCTGTTTATATATTTTATTTACCATCATGAACAAACATGATTGCATCAATTAAATGTCGATTAGGGGTCTATGGTTTGAACGAGATTATACACATAGTGTCAAATCATTTTCATGTCTGTTTCTGAGATATAATCTATTTTTGTGTTAGTATCCGAAAGGATTCCATCTAAGTGTTAGATGCTGTGGCTGGCAGGGGAACAGGGTGGCTTCTGAGCACTTCTAAAGCTCATGTTTCCTTCTTTGGAGTTTGCAGTCTGGAGCCCTGTGACCTCCTGGAACTCCTGATCAGTTCTTCACTGATCATTCATGGAGGGGGCATTTCTCCATTGTGATTCTTTGCTTCTTTGGGCATTTATTTTTGTTAATTTTCTAGAAAACACAACAATAACTCTAACATCCATCATAAAACACTTAGATACTTATCTCCAGGGCAGCCAAACTGAGTTGTGGAAATGAATTAAGTTCTCCAAAATTAGCAGCATTGAAATCAGGAATGAAGAGCTTGAAAGAATATTTGATTTTTGTAGTCACAGCCCAGAAGCATTGAAATAACATATCTTAATATATTTTTATTAAAACAATTGGATAATTTTCTAATATGAGAAAATATAGATAATGTATATTTATGAAATCACACATAAACCTGGGCTTAAAATTTTTTTAAAAAGACAAAATGGTATATATTTACCATGTACAACATGATATGTATACATTGTGGAGTGGTGAAGTTGAGTTAGCATCCTGGCTTTTTAGGGACCTGCAGGAGGACCCTGGCTGAATTGGGCCCCATCAGACCTAGAATGAACCTTCCCTGGTTCCCCGAATTTGTCCTCCTCCTGTTGTACTCAGTGTGTTGGTGGAAGCAGAACTCCCCATGGGAATAGGGAGACCTGGATTTTCTGGGGTGGGAGGGGAAGGTAAAGGTGCAATAAATTGAGACTTCTCCCTGCCGTAACGCCCAGCCCAGCCCAGATAAGACTGAGTGAGGCCAGCAGCCGGGAGACTGAGCTCAGGCAGCCCCGGGGTCAGTCCTCCAGGATGGCATGTGGGGATAAGGGCTCAGCAGAGGGGCAACCTGGGGTCTGGCTCCAGCCACGTGGGAGCTGGCATGGATGCCATGAGGCTCAACTACCCCTCTCCTTTCACCCTGTTCTTGCTAGGCAGGGGCAGCCCTCTAGCTCCCAGTCAAGGTTTATCCAGGGATAAAGGAGAGAGTGAGGTGAGAGTAAAGAGAGTCCAGATGAGTGAGGGAGCAGCTTGAAGAGGCCAGTCATTTTCATATTAAAGAGCGTCTTGGCAGGGTGCGGTGTCTCTCACCTGTAGTCCCAGCACTTTGGGAGGCCGAGCCAGGTGGATCACGAGGTCAGGAGATCGAGACCATCCTAGCCAACATGGTGAAAACCCATCTCTACTAAAAATACAAAGATTAGCTGGGTGTGGTGGCACGTGCCTGTAATCCCAGCTACTTGGGAGGCTGAGGCAAGAGAATCGCTAGAACCCAGGATACGGAGGTTACAGTGAGCTGAGATTGTGCCACTGCACTCCAGCCTGGCGGCAGAGCAAGACTCTGCCTCAAACAAAACAAAAACCGAAAAAAACAAAACTGTCTCAAAAAGCATACAAAAATCTTCTGGGCTAGAAGTTCTCTAAAGCTTCTAGCCCAGAAGTTTTTAAACTTTCTTTTAAAGCAATAGAACTGTTTATCAAGTGACATCTTATTTGAATGAAAGTACAATATATATGAAGTTCAAAAAGTTGAAGTGGTCTGTGCAGGGTGCCTCTCACTTACCCCCTAAACCGTCCCCCACCGTGGGTACCTAGGGGCATCTCTGCAAAAATCCTCTTTCTTTGAAGACATGCTTTGACATGCATTAGTACACTGGACAACTCTGCCTTTAAGAGCTAGTCGCCAGCCCAGCACTGACAACAGAAGAATCCCTAGGGATGAGACCTTCTCAAAGTCCCAGGCCCACCTGTGAACATTCAGATTTCCTGGATCTGGATTTCACCCAAGAATGTGCTTTTAACAAGATCCCCAAATGACTAACCCAGTAGTCTGGGCTGGAATGCGGGCGAGGCCAGTGAGTGCTTAGACCTGCACTCACACAACCTTGAGAGTGAAGCCTTCTTACATTTTATACTGTAGGCCCCTCACTGGCCTCACTCTGGTCCTGGCCCAGGCACTGACCACATGAAAACCAGCACCCAGCTACACTCTGGGGTTTGCCTGTAAACAGAAGTGCTCAGATGGGGCTTGAAAGAAGAAATGAAAGCCACCAGAAACCCGTGCTCCTGGTGGCCCACGGGGCAGAGAGCAAAGAGAACAGGTTGTAGACAATCTTCATAGTCACTTTTATTACTATTATTATAAATTTAATTTTTGATGCTTATAAGGTACAAGACACAGTGGGAAGCAGTTTATAAACATTTTCATCTTTCTCCCTTGTATCAACCATGTAATATTGAGTTCAATTTGTAAATGGGGAAACAGAAGCTTTGAAAGGTGAAGGTCTCACCAAATTCACACTGCTAGTTGTGATGCCTAATATTCTCCATGGTTTGAGCTCTTTATCTTTCTGTTGTACTGAGGATAGGTATGTGGACCTTCCTCTGCAGTGGGGATGATGTCCCTAAATGACCCTCACTCTAATATAACAGCATCCATTATGGACTGTAGTTACTGTGTGTATTTGCCCAGCAAGCATTCTCATCCATTTCTCTGAAGCAAATCTCACTCCCATCCTGGCAACAGGGTCACCTGACCTAGGTATGGCCAATCAGAATCCTTCATTGCCCTAGACACTGATTAGCCTGGGAGTGAACACTGGTATCCAAGTCAGACCACTCAGGTGCCTCTCCAGGGTTTCCAGCTAGGAGCTGGGGAAGCTCACTTGCCTCTGGTGTCACTGATCTGTAAGGAGGTGAGGGGCTGCTCACAGCTAGAGCTCTAGGAGAG